CCCCGAGGACAAACAGGGGGGGGAGGGTCTGGGGGATAGAAGACCCCCCCATGAAAACTTTTTTATAAGAAAACAAGCAGGATAGGGTGAGGAGACAAGGGGAAGAGCCTTGTCGCTGCCCGCGCTCCAGCCACCTGGCTGCAGGGCCGGCTACGTGGCTCGCCCAGCGCCTCACCCAAGCACGGCCTTGAGTGTGAGCTATTTTTAGCAATCTCTTCCGCGGGTTGGCGATTCGAGAGAGAGCGAGGGCGAGGGGACCCGGAAGGCCCGCTCCGCTGTAAGGCGAGGCCCCTTGCGCTCCACCTCAATGTGCCCTCCGTGGGGGTGGGGAAGAGGAAGTGGCCGGGACCGCGCGCCTGCTGGCTTTGCCCTAACTCAAGGAGACGCTCGAGCGACCGAACGCCCCGCTGCTTTCGAGCCCCAAAGCGTGTTTATTTCGAAGCCGACAGTTGCCAGATGCAAGCTTCTAGTCTCTGCGAGAATGGGAATTTGAAAGGCTTTGCTGCCTACGCTGTGGGGCAGGGGTGAGCTGCAGAGCCAAAACCTGGAGGGAAGGAGGTCGGGAAGGGTCTGCACCTCTCTGCATTCCGCCAAGACAGGGCCAGTTCCCGCGCCACACCCCCGTCCCCGCCCCACGCTGCATATGGGTGCCCATATGTGAAATGCACCGCAGCCCCGCCAGACACCGGCTATTAATAGAGCCCGGGCGTGTGCTCTCTGTCTTTTTCCTGCCACCAAGTAGGGATGCGCTTCACACACATACCCCACTCCGCCCCCACCTCGGCGCGCCGTTTCTCCAGGAAGGTAAGGGGGCTGCCCACGCGGATCCCCTTCGTGGCTCCAGGTGCCCAGAGCCCACGGCACAGTCCGGCCGTTGTAATGAGAGCCGGGTCAGCGCGAGGCGAGGGAACGCAGGCTTCACTCTTGGACGCAAAGCCCAGCCGGGCTGTCCTCGGCTCGGGGCCAACTCGAGAGCAGACGAGGGGCGGCTGTTGGGCCCGGGATCTGAGCACAATCTGAGCAGCCAGAGCGACCCCCAAGAGCCGCTGCGGGACGAGCGGGCGCAGGACCGCC